ACTAAAAAATGCCAAACTAAAAAATGAAGAGAATATAAAAGTTCTCATGAAAATATTTTCCCAGGGTTGGACAATGGCAAGAATGACAGCATATAACACTCCTTTATAGATGCCATTCAGAGTCAAGAAACATTTCCCAGAGTTCCTTTTATGTGACTATATTTAACCTTCCTTCCTAACAATGTAGAAATCCAATTTGCAGATGAGGAACTATGCTCTAAGAGGTTGTGTACCTTCCTAAAATTGCCCAGTAAGGGGTAGAATTTGGAATAGAATGTACTCCTTTTGTCTCTGGCTAGCGTGCCTACCCCGGTATACACAGCTGCTAGTTAGGCTTCAGGTGTTGATTATTTTACAGGGTCTTCTATCCTGGAGAACAAATGCAGTTTTTGTTAATAGCTAACTTAATGCCTCATCGATTAAAAAAATAAAAAACTACCAGTATCACTTCCCCTCGCTCTTTTTCTAAGGTCAACTGTTATAAAGACTCAAGAGATTCATATTGGAGCCTATACATCACCCCAGTAAAATCAGTGCCTTCGTCTGAAGTTCACGTCACTAATTAAACAACAGGCTTATAAAGATCACATTATTACACAGGAAAAAATGCAGTTGCTGACCAGATTGCTAAGAGCAACAAACACCAGGAAAATCTCAAAACTTTGCCTCCTTGTTTCTTAACCATATTTTTGCCAATTATTTCTCCACAGCTTTAAAAACTTGTTTCACCTCCACCTTTTTCCAAAAAAAAAAAAAAAAAAAAAAAAAAAGAATTTTACCCCTGGGGAGAAAAAAAAATGAAGACCTCAAAACCAAGTACAAATTGCTCATTTAAAGAATGGGAATGAAAGATGTGGAGGCTTTTCTTCCTTAAAAGCTCATCATCCTGTAGAAAGAATCCGAATTCTGTCCCGATTCTTCTTGAGCACTGGAGCAGTTTTTGGTTTTGTGTTAATTTTAATTAAAAAAAAAAAAGCACCATTCTTGAGAAGCTGTTGCTATGAGACTTCTGGGCCTCAACAGATGGCTACAGAGCAGTTCTCAGCCCGAGCTCTGGGCTCTGAAGCCCTCCACTCAGGCATACCATTAACATTCCTGAAATACCTTCCGGGGCGACGCAGGCCGCCGTCTTCTGACTAGCTCACCCGCAGCTCCTCAGCCGGCCTCCTGTGTCAAGGGGCCTGGGTTGAAATTTGTTATAAATGAATGATCAGGCCTCTCTAGGAAAAAGCCATAGCAGAGGGGTTGCTGTCCATCTCAGTTTAGGCTCTAGACAAGCTTTACCAACACACCCCTGGGGTTCTGAGTTCTTCCGAAGGGCTTATGGGCACAAATGTGTATGCAGGCACACACACATGTGCGTGAATACATGCACACATGCACACACATACACACATGAATGCACACCACACTCCACGCCCAGTTCGTTTCATTATTTGTAAGGCTCTGAGCCCCTCTCAGTTACAGTGATCCGGTGAAGAGAGCAGCATTCTTTTGAACTGTAGCATTTTCAGTCCCCAGACAGGATTGCTGAGGGAGAGGTTTAAAGGATTCTTGATTTCTCTTTTGACAGAAAGACATAAAGGGAAGGAGGACTACATGGCATTCAAATTCTACTTTGTCACTAACTTGGCGCTGCTGGACAAACCATTCCATTTTCTCACCTTTCTCTGTCTTCCGAACTGGGATAATGACACTGACCTACATGCATCTGATAGAGGAATTAATGAGCCATGATTAATAAACAACTGTGAAATTATTGCATAAATATCAGCTCAGTGAGACCAGCCTCCACTGCTCCAGGGGAAAGAGAAGGGAGAAACTTGGAGGCCTGAACCTCGGGGGTCTAATTGCTGGGACCACCGCCCCAGAAGGGCTGGCCTGGAATGCTCGCTACTGTTTTTGGTGAAAAGTGTCTACTGGTAGCTTTACTGGTCACTAAGGAACTTTGGTACTTGGGGAAAAAAAAACAAGTAATTCTAAATAGCCATAGCTTTTCAGGGTGGGGCTCATTTAAATTCCATCCCCAGAGTTGTGACTTTAAAACCAGGCCTGGAGTGTAAAAGCAAAGTCCTGCTTAAGTGTGTGACGCCAGTGCTCACTTGATCACTTGACGGGACGTCAGAGCAATCCTACCAGTTTTAGTTCACAGAGTTCGTTAAGAGCTTTTCTTCTAGTGATATCAGATAATATGCCACAGATACTGCACTGTCACCATGATTTGACGTTCATTTTTTAATCTAATCTTTCCAACTAAGAAGCACATTGAGTTGAGACTGCGTAGGTTCCTGCCTTCCAAAATCATCTACTTGTCCTGTGGTATAGCTTCCTTCTTGTCTCCAAAATGTGAACATTAGGATTGCTGGAAGTTTTATTATTTGTTATCGTTTTTTTTAAATACGCCTTTTAGCAGTTTGGCCTAACAAAGAGTGCCAACTTGTTTCTAGTTCCCTGTGACATTTTAATGAAGCCATCTGTAGAGGAGTGGCATGGAGGAGACGGCTTCTTTTCCCATATGTGTAGGGCTAAAGTTCCCCAGCTCGCTTGTTGGGTCCCTATGCCCATAACACATAAAGCGAAGGTTTCACACAGCTGTTCAGCCTCTGAGTTCAAAGGCCTTTCCAGCTCAGAAAAGCTAGGGCAAAGGCTGAGATCTGGGGTTGTTTTTGAGGGACAGAAGGGCAGAGAGGGAGAGATGGGGGAGGGAAGTGTCTGACGTAGGCAGCTTTCATTTGCATAGCTGAATGGGACACACACTGTGTGTCTGGGAGGGGGAGGCCCAGTGCGCTCTATTGTGCCCCATTGTGTGCTATCATGACACCAGAGGGGACCCTCACCACGTCTCAGGCAGATGAAGAGCCTGGCAGACATTCCACGGCTCCAGAAAGGAGACTTAAAAATTGTCACTGGGGAAAAATGAATTTAAGATATTTAATCCTTTATCCCAATCTAACTCTCTAATGATAATGTCTTGGAATGAAATATATGTGTGTGTCTTAGTTACTAACAATTATGTTAAATTACATATTTGGGGGTCCCATGGTTCTCTGCAGATATGCACAAGGGTTTTCTATACTCTTAATATGAAACATGGTTTTTTTTTGTGACTTTATTTTCTCTTTAACTAGAAATAAAAGAAGATTACCAATTAGCTTTCTTTTCTTTTCTGTATCTTTTCAAGACACAGGGTTTTTAATGGATAGTGGTTTGTTTCATTTTTTAAGATAGTGATTAAGGCTAAGGTGGTATTTATCCTTCTGAATACAAAAATGACTTATCCTTAACCCAGGAAATCATTTGGATTTATACACACTCAAGGTTGTAATTCATAAGTGGAGGTCAAATTTTGAAATTTAAATCGATGCTAAATATATATTTGTTTAGCTTTTCCATGTCCATTTCTCCTTTAACTCCCTCAACACTGTAAATTCACGTAGTATGCACCAATATACTTACCAACCAGTGTAATTTTTTTTAGTTACCATCACCTGTACTATTAATATCACCTGTACTATTTGCATGTACATTATATTAAAAACGATTGCCATAGACTTGTGTGATGACCACATTTTACCACATGGATAATGTTATTTCTGATGCTTTTATTTATCAAAACGGTCATTTTTAGTATTTATATTTAGTATTACTAACATGTTGATCTTATTATAGGAAAATGTTTTTATAAAGACAAGTTAGCTAACAGCTGAGAAAGATGGAAATTTCCAGCTGGCTATAAACATTAAAAGAAAAAGACATATTTTAGGATAATTAACATAGAGTATAAGTGAATGGTTTCTGCATGCTTGTTGCCTCTTTTTGTCACCTCTGTCTGTCTCTCTATTACTGTTTACTACTTGAACAGAATCATTCAGAACTGGAGATAAAGAGGTTTTCCAACCCGCTCTCTCTTCCTTTCCATATCTTTTCAGGACACAGGTTTTTTGATGGATAGCGTGTTTTGTTTCATTTTTTAAGATAGCAATTAAGGCTAAGATGGTATTTATCCTTCCCCATACAAAGATGACTTATCTTTGGAATTAAAAAGGTGGGAAAAGTAGTCTCAGAACCTCTTTGGATTTATAAATGGACCTTTATCCACTTATAGAAAGTTTTCGTTCAAAAAATAAAAATTGAAGGGAAAATTACTTCCTCTCTATCACAGCAAAATAGGCAGGGGTGTAAGCACTAGTCCCAAACTACTAGCCTTTTTGCCAACCTTGGATTACTGAATCCTAGAACTTGCAAGTATGCTGTTAGCAATCCAAGAGGGAAGAAAGGGTGGATGGACCTTGATGTATTTGTCAATCAACTTACAAGTAAAATGAAATCACAGTAGAGCTTAAGTCTAATCAGAATCATGGCTCGATATTCTTTAGCATCTGTCACTCAAATTTGAGTGCTTGCAGTAAGAATCTGTCTTTCTTTCAAACATAAGGATGAGTGAAGTGAGCCAAGCAATACAATCAAACCCCATGCTGAAATAAAACTCACTAATTCCCCAATGTTGAACAAACCTTTAAAAGAAAAACTGCTTTTATATCACATGAGAAAAAAGTTAAAGAGAGCTTTAAAAATAAGCAGTAATTAAAATGAGACTAGAAATCCTGGGGTTGCACAACTGGAAGGAGCCAGGATATTCAGCCTGCCTTCACGTCACTATACATTTAGTGCATAGTATATTTGTTAGACTTAATTAAAAGTTACTTTATTTTATCATCACTTGAGCTCCTCACCAAATAGGAAAGAACATACCACGATGAGATGAGTGCCTGAAAGGGTTACAGTAATTTGTCAAGTCCCTCTCGCCCCTGACCCTACATCTTTATTAATGCCTTGGTATCATTTTGCCAGCACAACTAACAGGCAAGTGATTTTATAATAAAGGCCTAAACTAAACCACTTCCCTGTCTCTCTTTAGTTTACCTTCCCAACACTGGCCTTTCTGTCAAGATAAATGTAGAAAATAATGTTGAGAAATATCTGATTTAAAAGGGACTTACCTTTAAGAAGTCCTAAGCTGGCATTTCCATTGTCCTCAGTTGTCTGTTGGACATCTCTGTCCAGCGTGACACTGAGCTAAGCTGACCCACCAAGGGGGCTCAGTGGCTTGAGGGAGGTGGCACAGTTCCTGCCCAGAAGGAATCCACAGGAGCCAGCGCCAGGAAAGAGCTAAGACACAGGTGTCTGACACCACCAAGGCACCTCTGCTTGGAACCTGCAATCAAACGGCTGCCCTGATTAGCCAAGTACAAAGGGCAGGTCGGATTACTGCCTTCCTCCCAGCCAATCACCAGCCAGCTTGCCTGACAGCAGCAGGCCCCTGATGGAAGGGGAAGTACACGCGGCCAGAACCTGAGAACCGGTTTCTACAGTGGCTGCTGGCACACCGGTCCACGCACATGCCTGCCTCACACTCTGGAGAAGCTGTTTGTCAGCTATGGTAACGGGTAAGCCATCTCCTGCCCTTCTCCAAAGAATGTAGCTCTAGGTTTTTTGACTCATAAACAACACGATACACTAAGATGACAATTAAAGTGAAGGTAAGGAAGAATGAACCATTTTGGCAGCTATAACTGTTCAGTGCCCTGTCTGCTCTTCCTCCCGCCCCGCTCCCTCCAGTCTCCATTGGTCTGTTTTGCAGCTGAATAAGTTCAATTTTTAATTAGCTATGGTTTTTTTTTTTTTTTTTTACAAGCAATAGTTTTTCACATAAACCAGGAGAAAGGGAGAGAGAATCAAATAAAAAGAAAAATCTTTCTACAGTCATTGTTTCCAACAATAGAATTCAATATTGTAAAAATCACCTCAGACACAAAAATTGATAAAGACAGCATTTGTAAAAAAACAAGACAACAAAACACTGCGTTTTAAAATTCAGCACAGTGAAGTGCCAGGCAGCTCACCTTTGTGGATGGAATCGTAAAAGTTTTCCTAAACTGCCACCACGTACAGGAATTTCCTTACATCTATCATTCGAGCCCCTGAAACTGCATCCCTTTGCAGCTGTATGGATAAGTAGTGCTTGATTCAAGTTTTGGTATTTGCCCCAGACTGTAGGGGTCAGCTTAACAGTAACCATAGACACAAAGAGAGAGAAAAGGAATAGCGCACACAGAAAGAAAACAGGGCTCCAAGTGTGTCTGAGTTCGTGGGTATGTACATGCATTTTCATTATTTTGCAGCTGCTATGGTGGGAAAAAACAAGTCATAGGCTCCACAGATAATCTGTAAACCTCCTTGCTAAAGAATCTTTAAAAGAATTGCAGATTATTTTTTAGATGTGGAAAGAAGAGGGAGAAGGAACACACGCACATGGCAGCAGCATTCTGAAATCACAGAAAACATTATACTCTAAATACAGTAGTGATCTCCATTCATGAAGCAAGTTTAAAGCATCCTCGAAGATGTCATTATATTTCAAAGGTGAGACTAATTTTATTTAAAGAGCATTCCTGTATTAACTTGAAAACTGTCTCTTCGGGATGTTCCACTTGAATTCTGGAGCTATTTATATTCCTATAATGTGAAATCTAAGGAAATAGGACTGAGGCAAGTGTGGGATGGCAACTATGGTCGGGGCGGGACAGAGAATCATCTTCCAGAAGAGAAACCTCCCATTAGATCTCGCCCCATGCATTCCTTCAAAAGTAGCCTTCTTTCCCTTTTCTGTAGGCAAAATTCTTTTCTCAGTTTTATGTTCTCCTCCCCCACCCCACAACCTCCCCAACACCACAACTGAGTTGCATATTTTTCTGTTACAGGCTGCTCTCACCAAGCTAAAGTTCAAGAGCGGCCAGGCTACAAAATTAATTTTGAATGTGTCAAATTTAAGCTCCCACTGTTGACCAGGAGCTCCACAGTGCATCTCCACAGTGCAAATGACAACTGGTTATGCTTGACATCTGTTTATCACAATTAGCCGTTTAGAATGGGGATGCCATTCCCACAAACAGCAGAACATTAACAGTGGTTTAAAGGAGCCAGGACTCTGCTCCTTCTGCATTTCACCAGTAATGTCCTCATAGCTCAGCTCTGTCCTGTCTTAAGTTCACTTCGAGTGTATTCTCCTCCAAGTTTTCTGTAACAATGGCGTCAACAGATTGGTGGATGCGGGTACTGTGTATATTATGTAGGTACTCATGGGTGCTATGTTATATTAGAAGAGAGAATATCTCTATGTAATTCTTTAGAGAAGCTATAACAAGCAGGCAAGTAAAGGAAAAAAAAAATATTGAAGCAATTAAATCACCTGTCCTTACAAATTATGAGGTGAATAAGGGAACCATTGTTATACTTACGAAGTATGGAAACCTACCTAGTATTAGACTGAACCATATTAAATTGTTAATATTTCACAATTTTTGGTCTACCAGAATAGCATTTTCATTTGATTCAACCTGCAGTTGAACTATAGTTAACTATAACATTACTAGTAATTAACTATTTATCAGTAGTTACTATGTTACATTCTCTAATCATCACCACAATTTTACTATAATTATTGTTACAACATTACAGAGGAGAAAAGGGAGGCGTGGGGAGGTTAGGGAATGTGCTGAACACTTCACAGTTAGCAAGCAGTGGAAATGGGATTCACACCTGGTAATCTGACTCCAGAGCCCGCTTTGAACCACCGCCCTCTACAAAAGAGAATCTGAAATCTGACTTTGGCATTCACCAGCTTTGTGAGCCTGGGCCAATTACTAAACTTCTCTATGCCTCAGGTTTTTTTTCCCTCTGAATTGGGACTGACCATAGACCCTATCTGATGTGAAGACAGACCCTATCTAATGTGATGATATAAGTAAAGCACTTAGCCCAGAGCCTGGCCCATGGAGAGAGCGCAAATGTTCCCTAATAGCAGTGTGTGGGCGGGACAATCGCTCTCCCACCTTCCCCAAGACCGGAAGTGAAACAGCACATGTTGTGTCCCCATCACCATGTGGTGGGCCGGCAGCCACTCATAGACGGGAGGGCGGTGGGGTCTGGAGTTCTCAAGTCTGGAAGTGACACTCTTCACAGTCAGTGCACGTGACTTTGGTGCATAGGAGGATCTTCACACTGCTATGTGCACCAGCTCTCTCACCTAGAAGACAGACCATCCACGCCACACTGTTGCCCCTACCATGCTCCACCTCCTTAACCCTGCCCTCAGCCCTGTCTTCTATTTCCTGCTTTAGAGCTGCTACTTCATATTTCTATGAGAATCTAGAAAGCTTTCACAAACAACTTAGACTTCTTATTACCTGACTCGCTCCTTTGGCAATCAACTATACAGTATTATGCAACCCATGCTTAAAGAAGCATTGATGATCTAAGCAGTGCTATGGAACCCACAAGGCCCTCGACCAGGATGTGGGGCTTGGCTTCTGGTTCTGCCACTGACCTAAGTGACCTTGAGCAAGTTACTTATCATCTCTGGACTCCAGTCCTTACTCTAATCTAGAACATCACTAAGTGTCTCCCGGTACTAATATGGTGAGTTCTGAAAACATATGAAGGTTTTATTTTTTCTCTAAAAGTTAGTAGCTCATCCATTCAGGCACATCTTTTCTTCTGATTACCTTTTAAAAGACAACCCCGCAGGCAAGAGAGGTTTATGTTACTCTGCTGATAAACTGTAGACCAAGATAGATGGCCTTGATTTCAGAGCACCAGATTTCCACTGGCATTTTTCCTTAATGATTTGCACATGTCCTTGTAGGGTGCTTGGTGGTTAGAGATTGCAATGGGGGGTGGTCTATGGAGGGAAAGCCTCACCAAATAATGAGGAAAATGTGGTTTCCTTACTCATTTTCCACTTCTTTGCATCTGTGTTTCTGCATAACAGTTATACTGTTCTTTAGCGGTTATAAGGTAGATTCGTCTACTCTGTAAGGTAGATTTGAATGATGCCTGTATGGCATTTACTTGCCAGGCCTTGTATTTTTATGGTATGCTCCAAAAGCTCAAAGCGTTTTCACAGAGTATATTTTTAAAAATTAAAAGTTCGTCCTCAGTATTCCTAGGAAGAATTGAGAGACTTTTATGAGTGGAGGAGATAAAGACGGCCTGTTGGCCTCAGGACTGCTTTCTTGTCATAGAGCACTCACCACCTTCTAACATACTGTATAATTTTCATGTGTATTATGTTTATTAATCATTCCTCTGCTCAGAACAATGTCAGCTTCATGAGGGCGGAGATGTTTGTTTTGATCATGGCTGAGTACCAAGCATCTGGAGCAATGACTGGTATATATTAGATGCTCAATAAGTAAACTCAACTTTATAAAATCATGTAAACAATTCGGGTAGAACTGTTATCCTGTACATTTCACTTTTTAGAAATCACACTGTTATAGAAGAAAGAGGCCATCTAAAATCGATTGCTCTGGTGAGGACCAAGGTGATGATGATGTATAAGGCAAAAAAAGCAAATAAATTTTCGTGTGGTTCAGAATTAGTTTAGCCCAATTCTGTAAATTTTCACATGGATATTCCAGGCTGGAAAAAAGTCAAAGCAAAAGAAACAAACAAACAAACAAAAAACTGGGCAGTGAGCCTAGAGAGAAACTCAATAGGCCTAGTTTCTCTTTTCTAGTCCATTTTGTTTAATTTTATGGGAAATATTGTATTTGTTGTATTTGTTGGAGAACTCCGAGTGTGTCTAAAGGAGTCAGATCCTTGAGGACACTCTAAGAAAAGTGGACACAAAGCAGCTGAGCCAGGCTCACTTTGTACTTGAGTGAACACTTTTTTATCCCAAACTGACCATAAGCTGACCTCAAGATTGATGAGATAATGGCAGCAGGCCTCTTAGCATTGTAAAAGATGTCAGTTAAGTCCAAAGTATTATTATACCTTTGCCTGTATAATAATTGTAGGACATAAACCACTTATGATACAGAAATCAGAGGTCATGATATTTTCTCATTGCTGGTATTACTGCTGAAAGTCACATTTTTCAATTTAAATTATGCTTCTATTGTGCTGTCTGAGGCTAACAGTCCTAAAGTAATCATATCATCCCTCTTCTTCTTTTCTTTCTTCACATCCTCTAATTCTTTGGGGAAACCAAGGTATTTCTTCACAAGAATGTTACTGGCCAGACGGGAGCAAATAAACACATGGAGCTCGGTCATCCCTTCCAAGTCTCAACATTCCCACTAGGGAACCCCAAGTTATCACTGGGCGCTAAGAATAACAGGTATAGCGGAATTACACTTGGGTTCACTTTTACCCTTGGGGGTGAAACAAAAACTGGAGAAAGAGCATGTGGAACACAAATTATAGCGTTATTAATGACTCTTTCAATCTAGGAAAATTACACAGCTAATATAAATAACAAATAAAGTATAAAGCTAACAGCAAATGTCAGTTACATTCATTTACTAATATATGTACTTATTACTTAGTGGGGTGTTTATTATGTATCAGGAAGGATCCTGAGCACTGTACATATTTGTTTTAACTCTTCCAACAGCCCTGCTAGGAAATTACTATCATTACACCCACTTTACGTCTGAAAAATCTCAGGCTCAGAGGGGTGAAAAACTCGCCCAAGATTACAAAACTAGCAGCCTGATGTTAAAGTACATGCTCTTAAACACTACAGTATATGTTAGATTTGTTGTGACTTACAAATGGGATGTGTGTGGCCTGTACAATGTTTAGGAGTTTGAGTCTTTTTCTGGCTAGCAGATTTCTCTTGAGAGAGAATATGCCTCGCAGCCCCCAGCCAGATATCAGCAGAGGAGATCAGTTGAATGGCGCCAGCCAGCAGTAATGAGAGAGGCTGTCAAGTAATTAGCCTGATGATAATTTGGTATAATAAAACCTGCTTCAGGTCATAATTTAAATGGACAGTGTAGAGAACATTCTTCCTTTCACTTTCGTAAGCCTCCATTTTGTACTCGAGTACAAAAAGGCAGTTTGAATCACAGCAGGCTAGCAAACTCACATGCTTGATAAGTGACAGGAGATGTCACAAGCAGGCGGTCAGCACATTATGTGGGGTTTTCCACTCACTTGGCAAACACTTGATGAGTGCTTGCCATGGTGGACATTGGAGAGATCAAAGAGAAGAAGACACACTGATTCCCAGCCCTAGTTTAGCATTAGAAACTGTCAACCATCCTGCCACTAGAAAAGACTCAATCTGGACAATTGGCTGGAGATTAAAAAAGTGGCAGATGTGGGATCATAGGAAGCAGTGGGGGTCCCAAAGCAAACTGGAGCGGGGACGCCTCACCTGACATGGGTACACACTGTTCCAAGCCAGTGCGGCCAGATCATCCAAGTGTTCCATAAGCCAGAAAGCAAGATTCTTATGTAAAACTTCCAGAATTTAATGTGTATTAAACAAATGTTTGCAGGCCAAATATTTCCAGATCAAACAAACGTCTGCTGGCCAAATGCTTCTGTAAGATATAGTTTTCAATTTCTGCCAATCCAAGAACTTGATTAAATTCACTGGGTTGGCTTTTTAAAAATAAAATTGACTAGCTTTAATAGTAGCCTTGATATGTGGAGATCTGATCCTTATGTACACCTAGTTAAAATAATTTTAAATTTTTATTAAGGTGTAACAAACAGAGTGTGTAAAGTGCACTAATCTTATGTAAACAGCAAAAATGATATAGAATATTTTCAGCATCTGCCTAAGGTTCCTTCTAGATATTTCCAGCCTATTCTAGACTCCCCACCCCTACTTTTTACCTCTACATAAATTAACTTTGTCTGCTGTTGCCTAGTTTAAATCTTAATCATAAGAAATTGATAATGGATTTAATTGCTTCAGGTCTGAAAGAAATAAAACTGGGTTTAAATAAATAAAGGTACAACGGAAAAGAGTCATCATAAACCCAACAACACGATGGAGCCCACGAACTTAGCCAAGTGCTTCTTCATATTCTGATGCTTGTTACTTTCACACGCCTAGTCTTTCAGTGAACTATCATTTCCCATAAGCCAAGTATGTACTTGTCAATGCATAGACTATCTCAGTTAAGCATTAAAAGAACTCTCTGAGATGCAAATTTAGATACAATTTATTCCAGCTCTATGGCTAAAGAAAACTGGACCTGTGGTAGTTTATGCAGCTAGATCCACATAGCCCAAACTTGAAGTCTAGATTCAAAGGCAGGGCTATTACAAAGCCCAGGTACCTTTCCAGAATATGATAAACTTTAATTCTTAACCTGGAGCATAATAAATCTAATTCAGTTTAGAATCTGACTAGGATTCATATTATAAAGATTAACGGTGGTGTTGAAAGCTATTGGTGTTGAAAAGTATTAAAAGCTGATGTTTATTATCTAGGTACTTTTATTTTTAAAACAATAAACACAGTAAAAAATATACGTATATCACCATTATTAGTATAGGTCCTACCCTATCTTTATTTCCTGGGCTTATGAGAATGTTGTCTTATACAAATAGAGTTTGAGACAGGAAGCAGATTTGGGCGTCTAAGATTTTTTCTCTCTCTCAGGAAATTTGTGCATCACAGAAGTGGGATTAGAGCAGTGGTGGCTACAGAATTTCCTATAAGAGGAGCTTCCTGGTGGCAAGTGAATTATGAAAGTGTTGCAGGGAACTTGTCTTGAAGCTGTGTTCTGCATAGTAAGTTCAGTGTTTTTACTTAAACTTGAAACAGTTTTCTAAAGACACTTTCATTCATTCCTTAATGACTTAAGAAAACGTTAATCATTTATATTAAGGATGTTATTTTATTGGGTGGGCAACTAATGCATATTATTAGGAGGCAGAGAAGGGGTCTAAAATCCCACCATCTACAAATACCACTCCCTCATTGCTGTCTCTAATCACCTAATGCCAGATGATTGGCAGAGTAGAATGAGAAAGGGACCTGGAATACCTCCTATTCAAGTCACTGGACAGAATACAATGCCAGGCCCTCTCTGGTGGCTCTTCCTTTTAGCAGATGGGGAGAAGCTGGTGGCTTGATAATACTTATTATGTAGAAGGATGTAGACCACTAGGAGTTCATTTATGCCCAAGGCTTTTTTGCCTGAGATATGCAAAAATTCTGAGTCTACATTACCTTTTATCTCAATAGCCACAGAGACCAACTGTCTTATTTGAATTCTAGGGTCAGATCTATTTCACCAGCTTATTTTTACACTTTAGATAGCTTGGAAACTCAACTAAGATCTGGTGAGATATCCAACTTTACCAAGAGCATCTGTTTCAGAATGTAGATCTGAACTCTAACAGCCAGGCTTATGTTCCACAGATAACCAGTCAAGTTAGCCATGCGACCTTTCCTCAGATCAATACCCATTGCTTCAGTGAAGCCATTTTTAACTCGCAACTCTAATCTTTGCTTAGTCATCAAATTCCTTATTTTATTTTTAGTTAAAAATATTTTTTTAATCATGGTAAAATACACAGAACATAAAATGTACCATCTTAACCATTTTCGAGTGTACAGTTCAGCGGCGTGGAGTACATTCACACTGCTGTGCAGCCATCACCACCACCCATCTCCAGAACTTCCGTTTCACAAAACTGAAACTCTGTACCCACGTAACAATAATTCCCCAGTCGCCTGCCCCCCACCCTGCCCCCAAGCCTTGGACACCACCATTCCACTTTCCATATCCATGAATTTGACTACATTAGGTACTTCACATAAGTGAATTTATACAGTTATTCGTTTTTTTGTGACTGGCTTATTTCACTTAGCATAACGTCCTCAAATTTCATCTATGTTATAGCATGTATCAGAATTTTCTTCCTTTTTTGAAGGCTGCAAATTCCTTTTTTTTAAACCAAAAAATGTTTCGAGTTTATCTAGCAAGTTAATCAATCAACTAGATTGAGGAGGAGTATTTGATCTGTTCAATAAGACTTTAAGCTTGGAACCCTTAAGAGAGGAAGTAAGAGAATTTGCTGAAATCTTTAATGCCCGGGTTTTTAGCATGCATCAGAATCACCTGGAAAGCTTGGTAAACCATTGACTGCCAGGCCAAATCCCCAGAGTTTCTGATTCAAAAAAACCAGAGGAGGGCCTAAGAATTTGCATTTCATATGAGTTCCTGGTCAGTGACCACAGTTTTGAGAACCGTTGTAACATATCCAGGGTTAAGCCTAGAGGATTCCAATCACAAATTTCTTTCCATAGTGCAAAGAAGACATCCCCCCGCCTAAGACAGGAGTCTTGCAGTTACAGAAGAAAGGAAGCATAGAGCAGCCTAAGAAATAGCAAGGCAGCCCAGCCCTTGTGATACAAAGGTATTCTGGGAATAAGGGAGAGAGTGGTGGCAAGTCACACTGTCAGAACCAAGTTCTGATTTCACCTCTCTGGCCTCAGGGAGAAGAATGCAAACATGTAAGGTAGGTGAGGGGAATGTCCAGGGCGTCAGAGAATCTTGGCTCCATTGCTCTACTGAAACTCTAAGAGAAGATGACTATGGGGAGGGCCTGGCACAGCTCAACTTAGACAGATGTCAGAGGTCAGCCAGTGGACTTGGAATGAGGTAGCCATGATTCTGGGGTGAAGTCCTGGGTCAGAGTTGCTGGAATAAAGAACTTGGCAGACGCTAAAGTGTCTGAAGCTAGTGGGAGCTGAGCAGAGGCTGAGTCTACCAGTGGGAGGTTGGCAGGGATCTCTAGGGGGAACACTCCAGCCAGAACTGACCATGGATTCACCAGACTTCAACACTGGAAGTCAACAATGACGGGAACACCACAGGTAGAGTCTAGAGACCAAGGGACACTGTGTTCTAAGACCTGCAATCACTACTGCTCCGAACCCACAGATACTATTTTGCAAAGCAGCTGGGCAGTAGAAATGGAAGGTGGCATGTGAGAAGGGAGCATTTTATGTTAGAGACTAAGTATCATCTCCAAGGACTATTCAAACAATTAGACCAGACTAGTTTTAAACTTGGTTAGGACTAAAAGTTTGTTTCCTTGTTAACTAAAAGTTTGTTTCCTTCCTAGCAAGTGTGGGTTTGTGAGGAAGACCAGATTAAGTTTAGACAGCATAAAGAATTTACCTTTTTTTTCCTGTACATCTAAGTTGCCATGTGACTAAGGTTGTTGTATAAAATCAAAGACATACTTTTACTAAAAAATTACTTGTTTATATGAAATTCAAATATAATTGGGCATCCTGTATTTTGATTTGCTAAGTTTGGCAACTCTACATGTGACCTACTATGGCATATATACGTGTGGTCATAAAGTTATTAGAGTGTGCCTTCATTGCATTGCCTATTTAGCCCATAAATCTCAATCATTATACAGTCTCATTGTGCCAATTGAGAATAATTGTCAGAGCGAAACCCCAGTTTATGCATACTGGGTTTCAAGCTTGTGTTATTTCAGAAACAGTC